AGTGGCGGTTCTGTCCGGCCAGAGGAAATGACATCCGAACTGGCAGGGGTTCAGAAGTAATCATGCCCGATCTGACGGAAGCCTGGAAGTGAGTGTGCAAGGTGGTTATAAAAGGCTCCTACCCCCCAGGAACGAGGTATGCTAACTTTGTGCTATCTGGTTTATCTTGCCTTTGAAGGATTCTAACTTGAGCTTCGGAGCCCTTACGCCGGGTTCTCCCCGGAGCTTCTCTTCTCCTTCCGTTTCAGGTCCCTGTTACTCAGTTCAAAGGCAAGATCGTTGACAGCTAAGACCGGCCAGATTGTGCACCATCAACTACTATCTGGAAAAGGTTCCTCCATCCTAGGACATTTTCTATCCGGAATAAAGGGATCCGCACTGGGGTTAGAAAAAGGAACAAAAGAGCACCCCCCCCGTGCAATGCAGTCAAGATCCACCTTGCAACAGGGTTTCCTTGCAATTGAAAGGAAGTTTCCGTATTTGCATTTCGGAAAGCTAGTAGCATGATTAGTATCATTCAATGTTTTATTATATAGAAAACTTTAGAAATTGTTCAGAAAAAGCGGTGCTACTCCTAAACAATGTAGAAGAACCGAAAGAAATACCTGGAGTAAAGGGCATTGTAGAAGGTTTATAAACTCCTTTGCGGAAATAAACATCAATGAAGTTGAGTCCGATCGCCTTGTTTCGCACACGGATCTCACCCTCTTTTGGTTCTCCTATTTCCACATCCTCCCACTTCAGGACCTATCATTGGTAGGAGTATCCAAATCGAGATCATTCTCAAAATCTAAAAAGATTAATTCAGGTAACCAAGCTACTCATAAGAACGCAACTGAAGCAGATTTTAACAGGTTCAGGAGGAATTACTTATTGATGTGGCATGTGGCATTCCAAACTCAACAATACAAAGTGGGTTTTTGAAGCCCAAGGACTAGTAACCAGAAAAGCTTCAGTTTCTGATAGTTCAGATAAGCACGCTAGAATTTCAACTTCCAAATAAGAACAAAGAAAAAGAAAATCCAATCTAACAACTAAAGAACCTCTGTTGAAAAATATGGGGTTGGGTTCAATTGAAACAGTCTAAGTTCAACAAATGATAGATGCTAAAAAATTCCATCTCTAAGAAGTGGAGAGCACAGAGACGGAGAAAGAGAGAGTGCTTGCCTCTGGTCCGCCATGTTCATAAACTCTGATCGCCTTCACCATGATTGCTGCTTGAGTTGCAAGTGCTCTCACCACAGGCCTGGTCGTAATGGTTGAGGAAGCTAGACACTTCTTGCTTGGCAGCAGCTTAAGAAATGTTGAAACACCAAAGCCATGGCCAAGGATGGAGAGAAAAGGGTTTTGTGGAAAGTGATAGTTTTGAAGATGGGCGTGGGCTAGTCTAGAAAATCCCATTTAGAGATGCTTTCACACACACTTTTCCTTTCTATAGAGTCCGGAATCAATCTTCGTCGATGACAACATAGAACCACTGACCGGTTGACCTGTGACGTGAGATACGGTGCTCAGAAACCGAACCGATAAATCCGGTTAAATCGATCGGTTCGAAATTTGGCTTTTTATTTTAAATTTCGGTTTTTTTATTCGATTTCAATTTTCCAACCGTCGTAACCCAGACGGTCGGATCGTTTAGCCCGAAAACCGTCTCAGGCAATTGATTCTATTTTATCCCTTGACTGGTCCTTCGCCAAAAACCATTGATTTTGTCACTGAATGCTGCCAAATTGTTGATCGTTCGATTCGCACAATGGTTTGGGCTGTCTTTATTTTAATTATTTGTTTTTTTTAATTATAATGAGTGATTTATTCAAATTAGATGGTCGAACCATTGACCCAGAAACGAATGGTATATCCCCTGTAATTTTGAGAAAATATACAGTTACCTCCTTTAACCATGGTCTTAGACAGAAAATGTAGAGAAAATCTATCATGATAACAAAAGACTTTTGATCAGGTTTTTAAAACCGGACTGTATAAGGAATTGTTTTTCGGTTCAGTTCTCAGGTCAAACAGTTTGCCCATTCGATCCGAATGAATGGCTCACTCTGACAAAAAAAAATTTTAAAATTTTAAAAACACAAAAAATGACCAAAATCATTCCCAAGTCAAACAATTCAATCACTCAAGTCAGCAATTCGTTGACCAAATCCTCGGTTTTTGGCCAAAAAGCGGTTTAGGATACAGTCAAAAATTTTTTGGATATAGTCTTTCTATATCAACTTTCTGTTTCTTTCCAAGAACAGAACTAGAAGCATCGGCCTTCCCCTCCGTCTTTCCACTTCCCTCTCTCTCCTATCTTTCTTCTTCTCTAACACACTTTGTCCCCCTTAATATGTTCAATATTCCCACCTCTCTCTCTCACACACATACAAATTTGCCTCGCTCTCTTCTGTCTTGCCAATGTTCATCACAAACCCATGTCCTTTCTACTAAACAAAATCAAATGGATAATTAAGCCAAAGAGGAAGTTAGTTGGGGTACCAATGACCCTCCCAACTACAAAAGCAAGGCCATATCAAACATTTTCAGGAAAATTCCCAATTAGTACCTTGTACTTTGGGCCTAGTGTCATTTTGGTCCCTAAACTTTAAAATGCGACAATTCAATACCCGAACTTTCAAAATGTGACAATTCAGTATCTATCGTTAAGTAGCCCGTTAATCAGCCATTAAGTGACATTTGAAAAGACATAAATACACTTTAAGTATCATCTAATTCTCTTTATCAACCATCCAAACGTTAACAAAAAATGAATAGTCTCAAATCCTTGCATCTTCTATTCAAGAAAGTTGAGTAGAAGAGGCAAGGATTTGGGATTGTTCATTTTTTGTCAATGTTTGGATGGTTAATAAAGAGAATTAGATGACACTCAAATGACATTTATGTCTTTTCAAATGACACTTAACAGTTGGTTAACAGGCTAATTAACGACAAGTATTGGGTTGCCATCACGTTTTGAAAGTTCGAGTATTAAATTGTCGCATTTTAAAGTTTGGGGACCAAAAGTGACACTAGGCTCAAAATACAGGTACTAATCGGGAATTTTCTCAACATTTTCAACAAAAGACATCTATAATTGATAACCCTGCATTTTGATGCCTTAAAGACATCAATTCAGGGGTATTTTCAGCCTTTGAATAGTCAAGATGTGTCATTTTCCCAGTTAAATGAAATGTTGTGGCCTCTAAGGGTCTTTGTGCAAATTTTGGGGAAAACTGGGAAGTTTTCATGGCTGAAATGCAAATTTTAGGAATCTTGTGTGAAGTCTAGTTGAGAGAGGGGGGTTTTGTGAAAAACTGAAAGTAGGAGGGCGCCTCCTATCTGCTAAACCCACTTTGGCGCTACTCCTACTATATTAGCATGCTCCCCACGCCTTACCAAACCCTAGGGCGCCTTTTAACCCATTCTTTTCACTCTTAATAAACCCTATCCGCCCCTAACTGTTAAATCCTCACATTCCATCCCTTCTAATCTCCACCATCCATTATAGGGCACTCTCTTTTTAGCATTCTAACCCTAGGAGCCACCTAACTTCTAATCTTCACCATTCAACCTTTAGCCATTAAATCTCAGCCTTACATAATATTGGGTGCATTTTCCTTTTCTTCTCAGCCTTAGAATCACCCTAGAACCATCCTAACCCTTCATTCTAAACCCTAGGGCATCCATATTTTTGCTAAAACCCAACTGCCACCCCCCTTTTCTCTCTAAATCCAGTTATATCCACCATTCTCTATAAAAAGGACCCCAATGGCCTTGGAGAAGGGGTTGGTCAATTCACCCAGGTAAGAAGAAAGACTGATCTTGAGAACTTCAATGGTAGAGGAAGAGGAGGACGCCCAAACAAGAGGAGGGGTTCCTACTTGCAGTTTGCCAACACCATTACTGCCACCTCTGGATTTGAATCCCAACCATTTTTTCTTTAGTTTTAGAATTACTTTCTGTTCTTTAATTTCTAGTTCATTTTTCCTTCTTGCAAATTTTAATTTGTACTTTATTTCTTTTCTGTAGATCTGAAATTCAGCCAAGTAAGATGGAAGGCCTAGCTCGAGAAATTCGAGGGTCAAAGGAGAGATCCGGAGACTACTACCTCTGATCAAATTCTCATACATTTTTATTTATTTGTTTCTGTTATTTATTTATTTTTATGCACTTGTTATTATCAGTATTGTTCGAATTTGGTTTTAATTCCATTTTTTTAATTAATTAATTTTATATTTTTGCAACTCTCCTTTGTGTTCTCTCTCCCGAATCTAAGTACATAATCCCCTACTTCCCTATGGATACAACCTGTTATCATCACTTTACTTCGTTAGTAGTTGTTTGAGAATTGGAAAAATTTTATAAATAATTAAATTGGTGTTATGAAATGATTAACGACACGCTTCCAGACACACCAAGTTTTTGGTGCCGTTACTGGGGAAGCAACGGAGAAAAATTTTTATTTGCTTTATCCAGATCTGCTTCATTATTTTTTTCTTTTTCGTTTTATTACTTGATCCGTTATCTCAGTTTAGTTCTTGTTTCTCTTTGATTCTGTAGGATGGAATAGCGAAAGGTAGGGTACTAGAGTGTTGCGAGACTGCGGGACAGAAGAGAAGAGAAGAGAAATTGGATTGCGTTTCAGGTGTGTCATTCCATTTTATTTTTAATTTTCTTATTTTTATTTTCAAACTCTTCTTTTGATAGAATAGTTATTTTTGAATTTTTAATTAATTTTTTTTTCTTCTAGATCTGATTTATTTATTTATTTTTTGTTTCTTTAGTAATATCTTTCTTCCATTTTGTTTCTAGATCTATTTTCTTTCTTTATTTTAATTTCCTATTAAATTTTTTTTGCTTTACTAGGGTTGTGTTTTTCTTTTATTTCAGATTAATAAAACAAAAAAGAAAAAAAATCGTTTATTTTATTTTATTTATTTCTTGCAGCATAATTTTCTTTTGTTTATTTTTTTTATTTTATTTTTGGTTTAAATTTTAGATTCATTTTTTCTTTAATTTCAGATAAAAAACAAAATAAAAAGAAATAAAAAATATTTGTTTATTCTATTTTATTTATTTTTGCAGCATATTTTTCTTTCTTTAATTTTATTTTTGTATTAATTTTTAGATTTGTGTTTTTCTTTTATTAAAAAATGAAAAAACTTAAAAAAATTCAGCATATTTTTTTCTTTTGTTTATTTTATTTTTGGTTTAATTTTTTTTAGATTTGTATTTTTTTCTTTTATTTTATCCATTTCTTGCATAATTTTCTTTTTGATCATTTTATTTTTAGTTTAATTTTTAGATTAGCAATAAGTTTGTTAGAATTTATTTTTGTTAGTAGTTAATTCTATTTAGCATAATTAATTGTTGTTTTATTTTCTGTTTGCAATTATTATTTGTTGCTTTATTTAATTTCTTTTCTTTTAGTTGTTTAATTGAATAATTAATTGCTAAATAGGAAATTGTTGAAATTTTCGAATTTGAGTTAAAATTTCAAATCTGAATTTAAATTTAAATTTTAATTCGAATATGAATTTGAATTTCGAATTTTGAAATTTAAATTTTAAAATTTCAAATTTAAAAAAAATGAAAAAAAGTTAAACTTTTAAAAAAATTCAAATTTAAATTTTAGGAATTTAAATTTAAAAATCTGAATTTGAATTTAAACTCTCAAAATTTAAATTTTGATTTAAAAAAGTATAGAAAAAAATCGAAAAAAATGAATATTTCTCTTGCATTTTCATTCCATTATTTAGGGTTTGATATTCTAGAGCATGCATCATATAAGTTTATTTATTTGTTAAAATTATTATTGTTAGTTTTGAATGTATTAGGTGCTCTTTTTATTTTTTTTAATTGTTCCTTTTGCATAGTTGTTTGCTTTATTCTTTTATGTTATATTGTTGAATTGCATCTTAAAAATAATTGTTCATGCATTGTAGTTAGTTGCATTTTGTTGTGTTTATTTTGTCTTTCCGTTAATTCATTTAAGGGCATCCAACTTAAATAAGATAAGGGCATCCACCCTTCACGTGTGGTTCACCCTAACCCTAATTTAAAATTTGGATAGAAAGATCATTTATGGAAGCCTCACATTTAGTTTAAAGGTGTATTGAATTTTAGGAGAACTTGAAATTATTTTCCATAACCGGCAGTTGGTGTTCAAGGAAAGAGGTTAAACGGCTAAGCCTAAGCAGGTTTTGTAATTACTTAATTAGGTCCTTGCAAGAGCAAGGGTAGCATCCCACATCCCCACTTCTTACTTGGCTAACCAAAGGAAGTGGTGTAATTCCAAGTGAACCTAAAAGGATTCACTTTGGTTGAACCACTAGTTTAGGAAACCCTAGGTCAACCCCTAGGTCGTGTGGTTGGTTTGTTTGCCTTAAAAAAATTAAAAATTCCAACTTGAATTTAGATTTTAGGAA